CATGGAAATAGAAATCCACTCACCGGGTGCTCCTAGTGCTCGTCCGTTCCGAAAAGGAGGCATACGAAAGCAATGAGGACTGAGGTGTGATTGGCAAGAAGAACCTCAATGATCATCAGGGCCAAAGTGGAAGATGAGCAAAATCACACTGTCATGAGGTTGCATAGTTAAGATGTTGTCCACGGCTTACTGAAGGCACCGAATTATGCATCAGGATTGCGGCTTAAGGTATCACTCTCCCAAAGTTTTCAAGGTTCTGTGGGTAAAAGCATATGCCAAAATATTTGTCCTGAACTTGCGCAATTCTCACCTCGAATGCGCGTTAATAAATAGTCTCTGTATATGTGCTAACCCTGTAAACAATGGAAAAAAGCATTTCCCATTTCTGCACAAATAAGAAGGTTGTGAATGAATATGTGAACAAAAACAAATGAGTTATTGAATGCAGATGTGCTTGGAATTTAGCAGCGACAACCATGGCGAGTTAAGAGAAGGAGGGAAGTCGTGCAATGCCCTGTTGGTCTGATGGAGTTCGAGATGAAATTGGAAATGTGGAGGGCGAGATAACGCCAGCATCTACACCACGTAGAGGCCTGTGGTTTCCGTCACGCCGTCCAGGTTGTGCTGCGTCGGGCCGGGTTTGTACAGCAGTTGGTGACGGATGCGGAACGCTCGGGGTTGCTGGCCTGCTTTCACACATCCCATGCCCATACACTTCACTCCATTTCACTTACTTCCTCTGCCCTCTTTTCGCCTCTTTTCTGTCATGCTTTTCCTGCACATTTATTCTATGCCACTACGTTTAGACCAAATTCTATTTTTCTCTTCGTTTTGGGGCTCTTTTTCAAGAACAGTGTTTTACTTTAACTGGCACAGGGACAACCAATCATTTACGCATGAATTTGTAAGGCTGACTTTTGCATCTCTGCATATGCCTTCACGAATAGCCATTAGTTCAATGTGAGTGCTGTGCACTGACCCACCAGTGCCTTAAGGGAAAACGGGATCTCATCATAGGGAAGATTATAATATCCTACTTTTTCTAATGTACTCAGCACTCCAGACATGGAGTGAAGTTTGGCTTTGCCAAATATGTCAAATTTCTAGGCACCAGCCGGATTGTCTTTACACATACGGTGTACTAGGCAATTATCAAAAAGGTAGAGGAATGACGTAATTGGTTTTCCTTTGCTTGCGCATATCTTAAAGAATGAGCGGATATTTTGGAGCATCAGGAGACGGGAAATGGTCATTTCGCGGCAACCGAGGTAAAGCTGCAGGAGCAAAAGGCCATTCTGAAGTATCACCTGTTCAAAGATCTCACGATAGAAATAAAAATCCAGAGATTATTGGTAAAGGAAAACCTTTTGATACTCTCTTCACCCCACCTAGGTGCAGTTTCGCAACTTGTTCAATGGTTTATACTCGGCCTTCGGCCCAATTAGTCTAATTTGTTTTTCTTGACAAACAAAATAACGAAAGATATCTTTGTTTATGTGTGACAATTTATTATGAATTCTTTCTGTTTTGTTCGTGAATATACAATTCCCTA